GCAAAATTATTTTAATTGTTAAACAAACCAAAATTAATTATGAAACAAGAAAAAGATCCTCAACAGCAATGAAAATTGAAATGATTTTTGAGTTCCTGTGTGTAAGACTTAAGTGGAAGCTGGCATGTCAATTAAAATCTTTCCAATATCCTTTTTTAGCAATCCCGACTATCCCCACTTTCACAAAGTTAAAAAAATATTACTCTGGCATTGTTATTAAAAAATATATTGATGTGTTTGTTATTGTTTGAAATTATATATATATTTATATATATATATATATATATATATATATATATATATATATATATATATATATATATAGAGATAGATAGATAGATAGATAGATAGATATAATTTAAAATTTACATTCTCTATTTAATTAGTTAATTTTAGAATGTTAGAGGGACGTGTGGTTTCGCTGGTCTCATATAATGTTATTTTATAGTTTCTCTCGTCTTATTTCATTCGCAGTACTACACTACCATGGAAGTTTGTTTTATATAATTGATTATTTGAAGTGTAAATATTGATTGTCTACCCACAACTTTTTCATTTTTGTTGTTTATGGTGTCAGTAAGAACTGATTTATTTTGCTCATGATGTATTATTATTATTATCTCAGAATAACAGCCCGTTGCCGGGTCCGGGCGTCCACCAGCAACTTCTGCCAACCCTCAGGGTTTCGTGCAGCCACCATCCAGTTGCACACTCCAAGCATGTTCTGAGCATAAGCTGCAACTTTGTCTACCCATCTATGCTTTGGTTTTCCTCGTTTTTGCGTTCCATAGAGATGCTCCATCAAAAGCTTCCTGGGCAGTTCTTCTTTGCTCATGCTCGCCACATGCCCCGCCCAATGCAATCAGCCCAGTTTAACCTTATGAATGACATTTGGCTCTCTAAATAGACCATAAACCTCCTGGTTTATGTGCCTCCTCTAGGTTCCATCCACCAACAGTCCTCCAAATATCTTCCAAAAGATTTTCTGCTCAAACATAAGGAGAATCTGTTCATTACATTTGGTCATAGTCCACATTTCAGAGCCATATATTAGCACTGGGTGTATTATGATTTTGTAAAGATGTAATTTAGTTTGGCATGAGAGAATGTTGCCGCCGAGCTGTTTTCTTCGCCAGGCTGTAGTAGCACTGATTGGCAGAGATTATCTTCCTTCTAATTTCCATTTATGCATTGTTGTCTTGTATTACCATAGAGCCTAGATTAATAAATTCATTTAAATGCTCAAATTGGTAGTCTCCGAATGTCACCGTCTCATTGCGCCCAAGCATCTCTTCGGTCACCATGTACCTACAAGTGCTAGAAACTGATTGCTATATCAGCATAGGGAAGGAGACGTGTGAATAGCACCTTTGAGATAGAAATAAATAAAGGAATTATAGAAATGGTTAATCCGCTCGTTAGCTAATTCAAAGATTTCTTACCACTGAATATTTAGGGACCAAGAAAAATGAGTAGATATTCATTAAAATTAGATGGTTCTTTAATTACATAATAAAAAAAAGTTATATATTATGGATTATAATTTTATTTTCATAAACGAATGTGCAAAATTATTTTAATTGTTAAACAATTCAAAATTAATTATGAAACAAGAAAAAGATCCTCAACAGCAATGAAAATTGAAATGATTTTTGAGTTCCTGTGTGTAAGACTTAAGTGGAAGCTGGCATGTCAATTAAAATTTTTCCAATATCCTTTTTTAGCAATCCTGACTATCCCCACTTTCACAAAGTTAAAAAAATATTACTCTGGCATAGTTATTAAAAAATATATTGATGTGTTTGTTATTATTTGTAATTGTGTATATATATATATATACATATATGTATATATTACCTGTTGGATGTTAAGAATTAAAATGGTTTTAATCACCAAATATAAACATAAATGCCTTGAAATAAGCCAAACCAAACGTAAATAGAGGCAAATCAATCCAATTTTGGTGGGTCATACAAAAAAGACTTTTTTTCAATCAAAGAGTTCTAATTCACTGTCATATTAAGTGTTTTGGATACTAAGGACTGACAAATATGAAGACAAACAAATATATTCAAATATTATTACATACCTTTAAGTAAATTCTATTCGAAAAGGCATAAAAGATACCATCAGTTTTAAATAAAAAGCTTTCATTTGGTTGGACATTATTAACGAGCTCAATATTAAACCCATTAATCAATGCCACTGGACTAAATAATTTATCGAACATATTGTCTTCGATATTTCCTACAAAAAATGAAATATTGTGGTATGGTATGGTATATAAAAGTTGAATTATAATTTTATTTAATAATATGTTAGATTATAATATAAATATAAAATAGAAATAGGGTGAAATATATAGCAATATTATGTAATATTTAAAAAAGTTGTTCAAACAATGCATAATCAGGTTTATAGACCAATCTCTTTCAGCCAGTGTGAGAACATCAAAATATTCCTTGAGTCGAAATAAAAGTCTATCTTTCCTGATCAGATTCGAACCGGCAACATTTCTGACCTGAGAACACTAAGGTGAAGGCCACTATAGCATAGCCTCAATCTACAATTAATTTCAAAACAATATTTGAGAACAACGAATAAATAAAATCCAGAAATAATGGTAGATTTGATGTATCAGACTTAAATTTAACACTTAATTCCTGAAATATCTTATAAAATCGGTATGACGACGAATAGAACATAAGGCCACAAAACATTAAACCCAGAAAATTCTAGGAAAAAATCTCTGAGTACATGCCTTATAGGGGCAAAATAGATATTGTATATATATATTTTTTTAATTAGAGAGTCTAATCCTCAGAAATGCCATACTGAGGCAGCTTTGAACTAGTTTTAAGGGGAAAACCAATTAAGCAATCCTTTTGAAATATCAGAACCGGTAAAAAAAAATCGAAAAATCAATGGAAATAAAAGTTAATAGTAAAGATGAAAAACGTACAAGAGTGAATTATCAAAATGCCTAAAGTTGTGTATGAACGAAGTATGAAGTTTGACTTAGTAAAACATATTAAAAATTTTGGAAAAATGTTTACAAGAAAATAAAACATTAATAGCTCAAATCTGTTGAATTCAAATGTTATTCAATACTGTTTTGATTTCAATCATGAAATTGTAAGTCTTTATGTAATTTGTTATGTAATATGTGGTATATTGATTATATTTCTTTTGTAAGAAAAACTTCTGATAATGAAGACTAATCCTTGAAATGACAACTTTATGTAAAATATAATTATAAAGGAAAATTATGGAAGTTTCTTTTATGCTCTATGATTCAACTTATACCTTTATTTTAATTATATTTGAATTCATAAAACTGGTATAAAATATTTTACTAAGAACGAATTGCTAGCTAAAGGTGGTAATATATTAAAAATTAATAAATTGAATAAAATATTTTATTAAGAATGAAGTGCTAGTTAAAGGTGGTAATATATTAAAAATTATTAAATCAAATCACACATCACCAGTGCATAATTGTCATTTATCACTGTAATAAAACCAGGATTGAAATCAATAATTATTTGTTTCACAAAATCATGTAATAATTATTATATTTGATTTTTAATATAAAAATTGTGCCTCATCTATCAATAAAAATTTAAATCGATGTTTGATCTGTATTTATTCGAGTAGAAATAATAATCATTCACTGAGTGATACGGTTTCCCTTAAATATTGATTAAATTGTTGAAAAAAAAATGTTGATCAGAAAATAAAAATCATCTTTTATACACAAATTAAATTAAATATTCATATGTAATTATACATTATTAATGTACACATTGTATAATATTATATTTCTGAAATTGTTTTAATTGTGCAAGCAGTACCTGCAATATATATATATATATATGTGTGTGTGTGTGTGTGTGTGTGTGTGTGTGTGTGTGTGTGTGTGTGTGTGTGTGTGTGTGTTAAGCCAAAATAATAAATTTCAGAAATAAAGATGTTCTGTTGCTAATAGTTGACAACAATATTCTCCACCTACTACTCCAGACTCAAAATATATCATAGAGATTACAAAAAATTATATTTCTGATTTAAAAAGGTATTACTCAAGAATTATTATTATTGTTAATTGTAAAAGTTTTGTTAAAAAATAATGATCAGAATATGATTTTTATCACTCATGATTGAAAATAAAAATCATCAAATGATTTTTAAAAATTCCAGATAACAATTTTGATCAGATTTGATTTTGATCTCTTTAATTATCTATATCAAACCCTGAATAAAACATAAAAAGAGACCCCAAAAAACGTCAATACCAAATTATTTTTCAAACTCCAGTGTCAACGTCATATCCAACTACTAATTTTAAGTATTACACTATTTCCTATGAAAAAATTATTAGTTTTTTAAATATTTTTTAAAGTACTATCAGTTCTATCTCTATTCAGAAATTCGAATATCTTCTTTTTCGTTGCCTTCTCCTCTTTCAATTAAATGGAAATTGGCTTTAAAGCATTTTTATTCATTTCAACTGGATTTGATCAAAAGAAAAATCAATATCTTGAATATTGTTATTATTCTAGGGTCTCACAGTGTAGATCACTTTTTTTATTTCATCCAAGAAGAATTTTATCGTATTTACAATCCATTCTATTCTTTAAATTACGGTAGTAATATTACAATCTATGAGTTAAACAATTGTACAATTGTTGTTTAACTTATTGTAAGTTATTATTTGGTCTGTTCTGAGTTCAAACATAACCATTTTCTCACAGTGTTATATTTTTTTCCTCTAAACCTCCAATTAGAATTCGTGCGAAATGTATTTGTATGTGCATAATGTATTATACAGCTATGTACTATAATAAAATGTAATTATATATTATATATATATATATATATATATATATATATATATATATATATATATAATTATTAGCTGTGCTATTATACAGCTGTGTGAGAAATATCTTGAAAAAAATATTAATTTTAATAAAAATAATTGAAATCATAAAAATAAATACCACGGATTGCAGCCCTAGGCATTGAAGTTATATTATGTGCATCATCATGATCATCTGGATCGTTTTCGTCATTGTGTATATTTTTTGGTTTGAAACAACTGTTAACAAAAAAATAACACCATAAGTAGATTATAAATCAAATACAAATACATAATATAAATAAATCAAATAATAGACAACAATCGCTTCTTAAACTTTAATAAAACAGTTCTATAAATTCATTTTTTTTTTTTATTATTATTATGAGAGAGAGAGAGAGAGAGAGAGAGAGAGAGAGAGAGAGAGAGAGAGAGAGAGAGAGAGAGAGAGAGAGAGAGAGAGAGAGAGAGAGAGAGAGAGAGAGAGAGAGAGAGAGAAGAAGTTCTTAGGAGTCCTATTGGGCGAGAGGTGTAACTTCACTAACCACCTAAAAGAAATTAAGAGCAAAACTATTGTCCGTTACAGTTGCCTTAAAACGATGGCGGGGACCACCTGGGGTCTCAAATATGGTTACCGGGAAACCCTATATAAGGCTTCTTTCTTGCCTATTGCATTGTATGCGGCGCCGGCCTGGGGCCAGAAACTGAGACAGTCAGACATCAGTGTGCTGGAGCAAGCTCAAAGAAGATCTCTCCTACTGGTGACAGGAGCGTACAGAACGGCACCCACTTCAGCTTTGCAAGTAATTACAGGACAATTGCCTATAGACCTGAAAATACAAATATCTATAGCCAAATATAGAATAAAGAGAGGAGTGCCAGCAAATGTGGGAACAAGCTGTTTTGTGTGCCCTAGTGGAAGGTACGACGAGGTGGCCAACAGAATAGAAGAACTAGTCCTTTCTGAATGGCAGAGAAGGTGGGATGCATGCGAGACTGGAAGACTGACCCATGAGTTCTTCCCAGATGTCAGGAGAAGAATCAAGAATGACTGGGTGGAGACGGATTTCTGGACAGTTCAACTCCTCACAGGCCATGGAGACATAAATGAAAAATTACATTTTTTTCATAGAAGAGCCAGTCCGAATTGTCACTGCGGGGCTGTTGAGGACGCTAGACACATAATTTTGGAATGTCCAATGTACACTGGCGCCCGACAAGCATTGGCAGGAGAGTACTCCATGTTGGAATGGCCTCCTCAGTCTCTGGACAAGCTTGTGGAGACACCTGAGATATTTGATGCCTTTAAGAAATACGCCAGGAGGATATTCCATGAAAAAATAGCAAGAGAGGAAAGAATAAACCGGTGATATACCAAATACATACATTTATTGTTATCATAAGATTTAGAAATAGTATATATAAACTTAGTAATAGGCCCACAATAAGTAGGTAGGAAGTTACTGGAGTCCTGTTTGGTGGGAACAGCCCTCCAGTTGCAGGCAGCCCATTAGTGTAGGTTTACCCGTAATAATTAATGCCCCAATCAAACTAAAAGACCGAATTTTGCCTCACTTTGACCCAAGAATTTGGATCAAAGTGAGAGCAGACCTGCCCGCTTGGTTACCAATCCTGGTGACCGAGCCCTTTAAATTCGTGGCATATTTTTCAGTTAGAAAATTGGATGTACCGCTGGTATAGGGTTGCCCTAAGGTACAGCGGGGGGAAAGAAGGAAAAAAAAAAAAAAAAAAAAAAAAAAAAAAAAGAGAGAGAGAGAGAGAGAGAGAGAGAGAGAGAGAGATTATAGCTTTCCTTCAATGAATCAGTAAGCTGTAAAATATATTTTGCAGGTAATTGTGGGTCAACTTTCTTCTTCTTCATCAATTCTTCGAAAATATAAGATATCTCTTAAATGAAGTAGAAAGTTCTCGCATCTCAAAGAGATGAAACAATGAAATCATTGGTCTCACCCATTTCAAATAAATCTTCACCGTTTATCACTATTTGATAGCATAACATCTCATTGATTTAGGCACCTAATGCCTCAGCAGATTGATCTTGTGGCTGCCTAAATTCCTCCCACATTTCATCTATTGTGGTGAAAATAACTTTTGAACTGCTCAAAACCATTATTGTAGAAAATGGAAGTCAGAAATAATAATCTAAGTTAGAAACATTATTATAAACACTGGGTCACATCCAACTTACGTAGGGAATGATTGAACTTTAGAGGTAAATCTACCAAAGATGGCACTTACTTCATTTGATGTTAGCTGGTCAAAGTCTTTATTAAGAGTGCTTGGAAGGGTATCTAGAGCTATGTGACCTTGGAGAAAGAGGAAGACAGGATATGTGCATTCATCTGATTCAACCCAAAAGTTTATAGAAGAGGATTAAAATATTGATAAAATTGTCGAGAAACTAGAAGAAAACTTTTAACATTGGTCTATTTCCCAAAAATTAGCCAATGTAATGTATTTCAGGTGATTTTTGATTTTTGGGGTAAAGTTCAAAAGTGTGCGGGATCTGTTCAGCTTCCAAGCAAATAATGTGGAAGCATCAGTATCAGTCAAGAAAGTTTGGCAGTCTCTGAGAGAAAGTCATTTAAGGATTGGGATAAATTTAAGGGGCAGAGAATAGGTATGTCCCATTTTAAGTGAAACCAATGGGCAAACAAGTTTATGTATGATAGGAAGATTCTTACAGACTCAGAGTGGATGAATGCTTTGAAATTAAACATTAAATATGCTCCTCTTCATGGAGTTCTAGAGACCGGAGGCCTGATGAATAGGGATGTTGGACCCCTCTGCTGTAAATCAGTAATTCCAGGTCATGTACTGGGTAAATTTCCGAATAACATGCTTCTCGTCACCCGCCAGCACAATAATATAAAGCATCGAATTGCCGAATTCCTAGAGACGAAAAATTATAGATGTTTCCTTGAAGTATATTGCATAGATAATGAAGGCTCAATGAGAATCGTATATATCTTAGCCTTTAGTACGAAAAGAAAAGAGGCTCTGATAGTTTATCCTACAATTCGATTTGAAACCAATGATGAGAATCAAAATCTCAAAATACTAACAGAAAAAGAAGAGGTCATTAAAAATTGTATCCTGTACCTGCAGAAAAAATATTTTAATTTTTTTTATTTATTTATATGATATTTACAACTGTATACAAAAAATACATCTAGTAAATTCGCACATGGATATAATGACATGAAACACATGTTGAGAAACTACCCATTGGTAGCACTCTAATATGTCTATATTAGGAGATCATGTGGCCATCTTCTTTTCAGACGCCTCGGAGGGTTATCAGGAATTGAATAGGAAGCAAGGTTAGAAACAAGAGGGTTGGGATGGTTATGAAGTTTATTATGGAAGGACAGATATCTGGATTGGGCCAAATCTGATACACAAGGAACATTAAGGTCATTATGCATGATTTTATTTGTAACAAAGTAAGGAGCATTGAGAATTTTATGAAGGATTTTGGATTGTGGGACTTTGGTTCAGGAGTAGAGGAGCAACTTTCAGCTGTCCTGATGAGGACTTTCAACGCCCTGATGAGGACCCACTATATGTAAAACAGTCAACTAACTTCCTTCAATAATTCATTAGGAAGTATTTAAAATAATATATAAATACTCAAACAAAGTATATTACTTACCGAATGAAGCATGAAAAACGAGATTTTTTAGTTTTTCCTTCCTTATTTTTCTTATCCTGCTTCTAAAAAAAAAATGTGAATCAGAATTATGTGTGTATATATATATATATATATATATATATATATATATATATATATATATATTATACATATAAATTCCTAACTGATCTATGGGAACAATCATTGGCAATAATTTTTGTACATTAAAGTTTTAATTCACTAATGGTACAAATATTGAATATAAATTATATACTTTAATAGCTTAATATCATTTTTTTCCAATATTTAAAAAACAACTGATATACTGTACTGATAAACAAATATTTTTAATTTTATGGATGTATTTTCCAGGATACCTTTTTTTTTTAAATTTGTTATTGAACCTATGATGGGTATGGTAGTAAAGATAAATACTACACTTATAGGCCCACTTGCTGGAATAAGTTCCTCCACCAGTACCAGTAAAGATAAAAACACTTAGTGTTGACTTATGACTTAAAAGTCCTAAAAAGAGAACTTAGGAACCAAGTTGAACCCCTTCAACTCCCAATGATGGTATGATTTCAAATAATGCTTCCAATTGAAAAATATTGATTATATGTCCAAATTTCTTACTTTTGTTAAATATATATTTTTAATTGAAGAATGTTTGGTTTATTATCAGTTTTCTTGCTCTTTCTGCTGTTATGTAAAATGTATAACCTTTTCATTTAATGGGTTAAGCTCAATTTTTAAGAATGTTTTCTGTAATATATAATGTATATTTTGTTTAATGAAGTTTTGTAAATAAATTTGTATTTTAATTTTTTTTTTTTTTACAAAAAAAGTACAACATATTTTCCTGGTTATTACTATTTGCCTTGTTTATTCATATTATTGATCTCTTCTAAATATTTAACTAACAAATTTTGATTTCTCAACCTTGATAATCTTTATGAGATATTAAATATAAATATTAATTACTGAATCAGACGCAGACTGGCATTTAGATTTCAGCTTTGAAGCAGACGGATCAGGGGTGAGAAATTTTGCAGATCCCCATCTCACCTGGCTCTTTAATAAACTGAAACAATGAGGATTGTTTAGAAAAAATAGTGATTAGTTGAAATACTTTACTATTAAAATAACAGAAAAATGATAACTTAATTTAAATAATCCATATTCGGGAATTATATGACCATCATCCTTGTAACAACAGATGTACATATATGTACATGTATTCTCCCTAATCTATTTTAATTAACTTGCAATATACTCTATATTAGATGCATAAAATGATAGATTACTACAATAATTATTACTAAACAAAATATATCTGTACTTTGAGTTAGATATTGTAAAAATAGATGAAGTTAATAAATACCTCTTTCCTTTAACTTTACGGGCAGATTTCTGGCTCCTATATTGTCCATCAACAGAACCTCCAACTGCTGAAATTAGAAAAATATTTTAATATTAACTATAAATCCTCAACATTGTTGTTATATATTCATGATAAATATACCCTCATCAAATTTATTTTCTTCATCATCTGATTCTATTTTCTTTATTTCATCAGGATCATCATTTGAATGCAAAAGTTTTGATCCCACCTGTGACAAATTTCTCTTCACAGTTATTTTATTATAATCCTCACTTGTATATTTAGTTCTATCAGCCGATAGTTCATTCCTTTCACTGAAAAAAATGCAAAACACAACATTAACCATTAAAGTTCAACATGTGTTAGCAAGTTAATACAATAGGTGTTGATATGTTAATAAAATAGGTGATTTGTATTGTTGTTTTTTTTTTGTGGCTCAAAAAAACATCAATATTAATTCTTTATTTATACTTAGATAAAATATATCAAAAGCTCCTTAGTACTAAGTCTGACAAAAAATAGGTTATGTGTTTATATATATAATTAAAATCTGTTATAACCATATAAATATTTACCACAGATATATTTGTTAAGTGGCAAACCCATTAGTAATTGAAAAAAATGTTTTTCCAGATTTAGAGATACTAATATAACGTAAAATTTATATTATAAAAAATTATAATTTTCAAATGGTCTGGTTACTAGCACTGCTTTTGGACCAAATATATTTTATTTAAAAAAAAATTGATGAAATTCATTTTTTTTTTTTAAACATCTCTAAAAGAGTCATTGAAAGAGAAGACACTTTACTGCGTGGTTCCTGACGAGTTCCAAAGAGCCAGGTCGAATTCCATTGGGTCTGTTAACACTCATTTATTAATCATTTCTTTTCTAGTTAAGAGAGGATAGCAACCTTTAGATAGATGACTGTGATCGACGAATCTACCAATAAAATTATTTAGCGGACTAGTTCCCAATCAATAAACTATTGAGTAGAAGGTGGAGGCACACATTCTCTTGATCATAAAAATATAACTCCCAGGAATAATCTAATGAACCTTACTCATTATCCTACAGAGGAGCTAATGTGGGCTTATACCACTTTTTAACACTAGTACAAATTCGACCAAGAATATCGATATCTATTGTAACATCTCTCTTATATTTTACAAATAATAATAATATAACCTCGGATGATCACTTTCTACCATTTTGATACTTCCATAAGGAATAAGAGGTCATTAAATAATAAACAAAATTATAAAAGTATCAATTTATGAAACTAAACTTTATAATTATTTTATCTCAGGTACGTGTTACTAACAATCAGATCAAAACACTTAGGCAAACTAAAATGAACTATATTAAACACTGTTTGATTTTAAAAATAAAGTCAAGTATGTATTAACAAGCTAACTTTTTTTTTATAGATACTGTTTCTTCCTTTGTTACACTAACTTCATTTGTATTCAAATGCTTTCTAATCTTCTGTCAAACACAACTTCCAAAACAATGACACTATCTTCTACTCAACTCAAGTTCCTTGAGAGATCCTCTCTCTTCTGATTCCAAACAACTAGTCTTTCTGCCAAACAACAACTTCCAAGATGGTAATACTATTACCGGATTTTACCCACTGGAGCCAGGTCGCTTCTCCTATCCTCTCTTCACTCCAGCCAAAACAAATCCTTTGTTCCATCCCCTCTTTGGGATTTTCCTTTTTGGGGAAAAAACACAGAGCAGTTATTTTCTTTTTCCTGAACTAGTAGAACTAGATTAGCTTGCCTTTTAACTGTTGGACATTAATTTATTAAACCCTTTTTACCCACTTCCAATAAAGGTGTACATTACAGTATGTTGAGTCTAAGAGCGTACGTTGGAGGCCAAATACCAGATGTATAGATCGAATCAACAAAGATGCTGTAAAATTCCTTGCAGATAAGTGAAAATAAGTAAACCAAGGTTGGTAGAGATGGAGAAGGCTGATTAAATGTAGCAAAAGATCTACAAAGTCCGTGAAACCAACAGGGAAAATATAAATCTCTACTTAACTTAATTTTCTGAACTCCCAAAATTGAAGGTATTGCAACTTACTATTACAAATTATGCAACATTTGTAGTAATATAAAACTCATGAAGACATACTCTGTGAAGAATAAAGGAATGCTTAATCTATCTACTTATAAAGTAACTTTTTTTCTTGCTTCATAAACATCAAAAATTGTCCCTTTAATAAAAAATAAAAATGTGTATACTCAAATAAAACCATTATAAGTACTTACTTGAGAAACATTGACAAGCGAGAAGGCCTGGCCCTAGCCCCATAATTTTTTTCAACACCACTCTAAAATAATAATTATAATAATGAGTAAAATAAACAAAAAAATAATTAATTAATGAGGTGGAAACAAAAAAAAAAAACAAGAAAAAGAGATTAAGGATATTATCAAGATATAACAAAAGGAAGCATTTAATCACTCAAATGGAAGTAAATAACTAATTAATCCATATTTCACCAGCTCATTAGGACAAAAAAAAGTGTGATCATTTATGATATCAGCCAAAGACAACAAATCTCACATCAGTTTAAAAAAGAGTAACCGAATAGAGATACTAAATCGCATCAAGGCTGTTTAAAGTATACTTACATGTCATATATGTTCATAGGCACCGACTACTAGGGGCTCACAGGGCTTGAGCCCCCCAATGTTGCCGTGGTGGGGGCTCAGCTCCCCTACAAATCCTATAGTATAAACTTCATGAATATATCAATCATGTACATTACAATTCCATTACAAAATACTGTATCTATCTACTAGCAGGTAAAGTAGAATTAGGTTAATGGTGTCTTATGTGGATTCATAAACTCACCTAAACTGTAAAAGGAATCTTCTATTAAAATAAAATTGTTTTGATTTAAAGTACTTTGTGTGAAAACACTTTTTTGTCATCAGGAAGAGCTTGAAACAACTCATAACCTGCCTGAGATGGTAATTTTTCATATAGGTACATGTTATATATTGCATATAGGCATATATTACATATCGCATATAAGGATATATATTTTTTTTTCAGTCCTCCCCTTTCAACCTATACGAGGTCTTCCCAGGCCAGAGGGTGAGGGTAGAGGATTAATGCTAGAGTTTAAAACCTTTCATGGCACCGGGTCACGATCTCATGATTATTTTCATAAATTATCTCATATATCAGGTTGCCGGGCAACAGTGGTGCTGTGCACACGCATTAGCCCACTCGGCCACCCCACCCACGCATATAGGAATATATTACACATTGCACATAGGAATATATTATATATTGCATATGCATATATTATATATTGCATATAGATATATTCCAAACAATATCCCCACCTTCCCAGGCTCCCCATCCTGTGATCCTATAGGTTTGTCAAAATTTAATGCACTTTTTAAAAATATTTTCCAAGTTGGAATGGAAAGGGTAGGTGGTTTAGTTCCCCAACTTAACCCCTTTGGGTACGCTTATAGATTGATGTGTTACATGAATTCGGTTAGCCTTTTTTAGACTTGTGCTAGCTCTGCTGTATCCAGTCTGTATTTATTATATTATACTTTTGGCAAGCATATGCCCTGATTTTAATATTTCAGTATATTCTATAGGTATGATAGATATAGACTGATAGGTATAATTGATCACTTACTATAACTATTGTAATACTTCAATTTTTTTTTGTACCGATTGTAAAAACATCAAATATAAGTCATAGACTTAAATGGTTTAATAACATATTGTTTTGATCGTATTTCGTTAAAAAAAAAATACAAGCCTTAAAGAAGATTGTGAATCTCAACAACCTAAAAAATCTCTTATAAAAAGCTTAACACTTTTATACGGTAGTTATTTTTTGTTATCTATTTATATCATTCATCTCAATGAATGATTAAAAATTGATATCATATTTTTTGATACGATAATAACTGTATTCCCATTTGTCAGTTTTAATGTGTTTTCAATCCTTTGTTTATATTTTTTTATCGATTGCTCTCTCGTAATTATGATATTAAATTATGATTGATACCATTTTTTTTTCGTTGTATATATATATATATATATATATATATATATATATATATATATAATGTTTTCATTTAGTTATGAACTGAAATTAAATAAATAACAAATTTAAAAAATTAAATAAAAAGTGAACACTTTATGATGAACAATTTAAGTCTGAAACCTTACAGAGCAAGTTAAAAATTTAAAAAAATTAAAAATATGATGTATGATAACTTTTTATTAACTTCTACATGGACTGGCAATGTCCAAAAATCTGCAAGAACAATTTTATTATTATTTTCGAAATTCAATGAATGAACAGGATTATAATTAAATTTGTTGAAAAAATAAAAGTAAATAAATTTAGATTAAGTAATGAGAGTTGAAATAAAGAATAGAGCAAAAAATTGGGAAATTCTAAAACAAAGCCTTGATTCTCTCAAATTCAAGTTAAACAAAAATATTTAAGAAATATCTGCTTCTTGATCCTGATTCGGCCCCAAAAAAATTTTATGATGTGTTAATATTTATTTTAAATATATTAACTAAAATACTGTTGACTTTTATTGGAGAGGGGAGGGTATGAGAGAAGGGGTGATCAAATATAATTATTATTGATGTAAAATGAATGTATGGATGATGCTCTGTAAAGTGCATTGTGACCACACAAATATCACAATCATAAATAAATAACAATAAACCTAAACGTATATTTTAAAAATAAACTAACACTATTATATTATAGTATGTTAAAAAATCTACTTTCACCATTCCTTAGGCGTTTTCCATGTAGAAATGTTGGACAAATATAGCTATATAATTTTTTTTTTAAATACATCAATATTTTTCCCAATATATTTTATATGGTCGATAGATATTTTTATAAGTTTTAAAATCTACAACTTACAGCAATGAGTAGGTTTTGCCATATACATCATGTATTGGTTACAGTTCTCATACTTTAAGTAATAAAAAATCATGAATATACAAAAATAAGTATAAATAACATTTTAAATTAATTTTAACAATAAATAATTGTTCATTCTTTCTAGAAATGTATAGATATATTGATATTAAAGTTTGACTATCAATAACGGATATTTTTTTCAAAAACATATGTCACTCCTTCAATACTTCATATGTTGTCAAAAAAATCAATCAAAACCAAAGTTAAAATATTTTTATGAAAAAGTTACATTGTCATTTTAGTACATAAAATAACAATTATTTTGGAGAATCATCCCTATAAATACAGATAGATTATACTAACGATATTTATATTATATTTAAATATAATGTAACTACAATTATATATTATGTTATTACAATTGTGTTATAATACAATTATTATAATATTAAATATTTGATTTATATTTAAATCACCTTATCACCAGTATTTGAGTGAGGCATCTCTTCTCCAATATTTGGAGTGCTGTGATTTGGGATCACAAGAGATTGTGTTTTCTCCCACCTTACTTGGAGGCCTTCGGATCTGAAACAAGAATTATTGTAGGAAAATTTGTATTTAGAAAAATAATGAAAAAACTGCTACCTTGTTTTGACGAAGTTCTAACTGACGTTTTTGAAATAAAAATGAAATTATTGGTGCTTATGACTCACCTTTTCTTCTGCACATGAGGAACTAACTATTTTTGTGGTCAGCTGAGAGATAGCTAAACAACTAATGTAACAAATTTCTAACTGCATGAAAGTTTTTACTTCATTACATTTGACAAGGTTGTATATGTCATCGGTAGATACAACCTTGGTAAACATGTACATGATAGATATGTAAAATTAATGAGTGTTATAATAAAGTTCACAGAATTTTCAGGAATGTTATTGCTATTTAAAATTTGTATACCAGAAGTAAATCTACATCAAACAAAGAAACAAGTTCAAATAACTAAGTAGAAACAAATTCAACTGCACCGGTTATATCTACCAGTAAAAAATTTCTATACATTTAGTAACACCACTTCTGAAGCCATTGGCCCTTGAGCATTCATTGAACCTGAGCCACCATCAATATTCATTAGTAATATTCACGACTTCATGGAGTTAAGTCAAGAATTGTCTGCATTAATAGAAGAAACAATTTTTAAATGTTTTTCAAGAATAAAATGTAAAAATCAGCATTACAAAGAAAGTCGATCATTAATTTCCTACCAGCTAAAAGAAGACAAAATGTACAAAATCACAAAGATCCTTTAATGCTGCCTCAAGATTACAAATTCAAAGAAATTCAGTTAAATAACTTTGTAATATAATCCGTATGAAAAGTCAACTAAAACATAAAATTAGAAGCATCAGTATTATCTATTGCCAGTCATTAATGTAACTGATGAATCAAATTGATAAAAGTATGCTGAAATATTTATTTGCAAAAACTCAGTTATAAATTAAAACATATTTCAAAAAAAAAATTCACTTGTCTTCTCATGACTTCATTTAGAGTTCATACGTAGAAGTCAATACATACCTTCTTTCTTTAGTTTCAGGAACATCTGATGATATGGAATACACTTCTGCAATGGCTTCAAATGAATTCTTATAATCTCTCACTGAGTCAGCTGTAATTGGAACAGTTTATTTTATTAGGACTTATTAATTGCAGATATTGTCAGTAAATAATAATAGTAATATAACACATAATAATAAAAAGGGCAAATAGACATTCATAAAACGTTCTGTCAGGGTGTTACCATGTTCATTATTCATTGCTAAAAATAATATGAAGATCAACAGAAAAGAGAGGTACCCAGAAAGTGGTTTCATGGTGCAAGTTGCGCCATCAAATTTTCGGAGGAGCATATTTTGACAGGTTTTTGAATTTTTGAGGAAGGCAAATTTTGACAGGGTTATGGATTTTTTGACTAAAGGACAAGGGGAAAACATGGAACACATCACACAGCAAGTGTAATTGTATATGATCTATAATTTTTTTTAATTCTACCTTAGCATGCTCAGTTTTTAAGAAAAGGTGAGCAATAAAATATCTTCAGAGGAAGAGGGGTTAGGTTCTTGCGCCATCGACCTTGGGGGAGAAGGATGGCCACCACTGACAGGAACTGCAATATTTCTGGTCAATTACCTGCTTCAACGGGTTTTATAAGCTTTTATAACTCCCATTCACATATGTTAAATTAAATTCCATCTGAGAAGGAATAATTTTACTCTCCACAAAAAATTCAGCAGTAGAAAATGAGGCCTGGGTTGTTGAGAACTATTGTACCTATAGAGGATGTTCTTGATTTGTTCTACTTGTTTCCTTATTTCTTTTTATGGAACTTGTTGAAGGCGAGAGACACACAAGATCGTCTCCAATAGTCCATTTCTAGGGCCACTAATTTTTTTTATTAGCTTTCTTTAATTGCCCAAGATTCAGCTGAATAGAGAATAAGTTCCATTATGGATTTTTAAATCGAGTGAGGAATGGATCCAGAATAAAATTTAATTAATTAATTTCAGTGATCAGCCATAGCTTTTACATGTATGATTTGAAGCTTTATACAAGGAATAATGAGTCCATTTTCGTGACCAAATAAAGATGTCACTTGAGAAAAGTGCCATTCTTCACTTCATAAATTGTAAACCAAGTAACGCTGAAAAGGCGTTTATTGAAGAACTGTGTATTAAATAGTTTCAAAAAGAAAAAGTATATTTATATCTTAGGATAGAAAAGTAAGTTAAAATAGTACAAAAAGTAAAATTATAAAAAACAGAATGAAAGTCATTGAAAAAGATAATGAACATTATCCTTACAAATACCTGCCCTGAGCATTAACAATAAAAGCTATGAATACATGGTTTAGAACAGCCATATCTAAAATTGTTCATGTCAGTCCAGAAATTAGATAGGTTACTACTAATGGGAATGACTCCAGAATGCACTGCACCAGACTATATATGGGTAAAGCTTCTGCCAAGAAAGGAAGGGCACAGAGGTCCCATACATATTCAAGAGGTGCAACAAAAACAAGAAATGACCCTCAGTGTCTTTCCATTAGATAGACCATATAGTGAACACAGTCATACAGCCCTCCAACTAGACACTCTGCCTCCATAAATTCAACAAGGATCCATTAATACCAACAAGGACTAACTGGAAAAATGACAGTAAAAAACATTGCACATAATAGTTGTTCACCAGCTTCAGCAAACTGAAGTAGATAAAACATTGTCTACCAGTTGGCTAGTAAAAGGAAGTCTCCTGTAACAGAGGGCTTTCTGGCAGGAATCTAGGAGCAGGCCATAGCAATGAAGTCTTACTGCTGGTAAGTCTTAAAGCAACAGATAAAATCAGATCAGTATTGGTCTGTGCCACTGCATTTAAATCTATACACCATATATAACTACATATTTAGCATGAGGATATTGTGGAATTCTATCATCAGGTGATTGGTCTGAAACACTAGCAGATCCAGGATTTAATTTTGGGAGGGGCTTCATCCCGAAATTTTTTTTTTCATATATATATATATATATATATATATATATATATATAATGATAACTACTTTGAAAAAAAGAAAGATACTAACTACTCATATGAAATGGTGTTAAAGTGATTCTTTAAGTCCTATTAAATGAAATTACACAAAAAATAATACTTTAAGAGATAATTTTTTTCCATAAAACATGGTTACATTTTAACATTTTGTGGAGGGGGCTTCAGCTCCAACTGGCGGTTGACCGTGATTTTGGTCAAAACACTTCCTTGCATAACCGTTGACCAAGAAACAGTACTTTCCCTAAATAGTACTGAACTCAAGACCCTTCATGGGTTGTAGTAGTACAGGTTTTATATATATATCGGATGATTCTTAAATAAATATTTCAATTTTTATGATAAACAATGTTATTTAGGTTATACATATTTTTTAATAATTATTATATTTAATCTATATATGATAAAGAATTGTTAGTGAGTCAGTCTAAACTAAAGGTCAGTAAAGATAATATAAAGGTGACCAAAAAGGAAAGAAATTAAGGATGAAGTTTTTGATAAAATGAGAAGATAAAAATGTTTGTGGAATTTAGGAAAAAAAATAAAAATAATACATTTTATTTATTTAATAAAACAATTACTACCATTGAGTAGTATTCTATGTACATGTATATTTAAAAAAATATTTTTAGAAACAATTTTTATTCATGCATAGAATGGATGGGACTTTAATAAGTTATTTTGATAAAAATACAATTTTTTTCTATCTCCTGTCTCACAATTTACTCTTTATTTTATAATCTTTACTTTATATAGTGCCTGGCCATCATCAGCATATCTGATATTCCTATTTACATAATGTCTTTTTTCTTGAAAAATAACATCTGTTTTCCATGACGAATAGACAATGGTCACTTTATTTTAAAAGACAATTTATATTTAATTCACATATAAAATTATAAAACAAATAAATAATAAATTAAAGGATCTAATAACAATAATTCACATTAAAAAAATTCAACATGGAAAATAGACGTTAACAAAATTGGAATTATTTTTCAAGAAAAAAGACATTATCTAAATAGGAATAGCAGATATGCTGATGATGGCCAGGTGCTGAAATGTATGTATAAAGTAAACATTATAAAATAAAAAGTAGCACAGGAGATCGGAAAAACTTGTGTTTTTATTAACATTTAGAAATACTGTTTTTATATGATTAATGTTTTGTTTTTTAAAAAAGGAAACATTTTTGAAAATGCCACTTGGAGCCGAAACTGTAAATAATAATTTTTTAAATGTAAACTAAAAGGCTGTGAGATTATAAAGAATATTGATGAATAAATAATTATATATAGATTAAATATATGTAATAATTATTAAAAAATCTCACAAAAAATATGATTAACCAAAATAAGGCTTTTTATCATAAATAAAACATATAGTTAAGTATTATTGTAAAATTTTATTTTATCGTTTTTAAGTCACCAAGTATACTTTTTGCTTCTACAAGAAATCTAGAAAGTTTAATCCAAGTATTATTGAATATTATCAGTGAGGGGTGGACCAATATAAGCTTATGTTTAGAGCATCAAGCATTGGAAGGCTGGGAAGGAAGGTACCTTCAATTAAAATTCTTTGTTAGAAATATGCTTAGAAATTATATAATCACTGTGAATAAATATTGTCTTTCTAAATATTACAAGCATGCAGAGGATTTACTTTTGAATATTTGCACTTGAAATTCTAGGAAAAAAAAATTACCTTCATCTAATTTGCTGCTTTCATTATCAGATATTTCTATTATATCACTTATCTCTTCTTCCATTGAAATTGAAGTATTTGCTTTAATCAAAGATAAATTTTCTTCGAAGAGCTTTTCAATGTTCTCCCCAACAGAATCGCCAAAAGTTCCACTAAATGGCAGACAACTGAATAAATGGAAATAGATATCTAACATTCAGTTCAATACATGCTTGTCATTTCATATCATTATAATACAATTAATTTAACTACCTGGAAATCACCGTAAGAATAAAAAAATATTTGTAATTTAATAGCTGGAGCACATTAGGGCAAAATGGCCAATAGGATTCTGTTTCTAGCCACATCCAATGTGAGTGGGATAGGATCTGAGGACTTGATATATGATTTGGAGTAAGTGGGTTATAAGCTTGTAAAGGAAGTTCATGATGCTATATCCTGTTGAAAGCTATTACTACGTCCAGAAAAGCAGAATAGTGCAAAGGATATATGATCATTAATTGAAATAGATTTTTCAATCTAATCATCTACTTATATTGACATTTGATGAATTAAGAAAAAAATATGAATTTTATGTTACTGGGATTTGCCTTACTTTAATTAAATTCATTAACCATCTACGTTATTTTTTATTATTAAATAGACAAATATTAAAAAACAATAATAAATAAGATATGTCTGTTAGGTACTTGTATAATAGGTACTTGTATAATAATCTGATTGCTATCTGTCAATGTTTATAACCTTAACACTGATAACTCTGATAAACCACTGATAATACCTTCGTATATATATATTTATATATATATTGAATAGACCAAAACATTACACATATATAATTAAAAAACATTACGAAAACATTGCAACATATATATAAAAATAAATGAAATAATAAAAATAGACAAAAAATAGACAAAAATAAATGAAATGATAAAAACCACTTTAACAACATATGTACACATATGAATTTTAAAGCCGTTAAAAAAGAAATCCTCGACCCCTCTAACCATGTTCCTTTCCTTATACCACTTAAAGAAACGGTTTTGTTACAACTACAAAAGCATCTCCATTTAATCTTCCCCTCGAAGTTCACTTGATGACCTTAATCACAATATTTCACCTTTGCAAATATCCCGGCGTCATGAAAATATTCGATATCCTTTTCTTCTGAAGACGGCAATTCCCACAATGTGACAAGATCCATAATTAAATAAGACTAACTCATAGCTTACACAAGAAACAAAAAATAAACAAGGGAATAACTTAGGTTAGAGGAGATAAGGGAGGTTATGTGAAATAAGATTAGATAACAAGAGAGGTTTTGATGCTACCTGCTATTATACAAGTACCGTCTGCTCTCTACATTGAATAATGTAAAAATATGAAAATTAAATAGTATTACAATATAACCTTAACGCCTGCATTATATATGAAAAGACACCTCAAACAATTGTAAGTAAATAATTACAAGCTGCAATGATTGGAATAAATGTAGCTTGGAGTGGAGAGCCATATTCAATAACAATAGTATTTGTGTTTCAAATAAGTTTCAAATTTTAAATTCTTTTTCACAAAAAATATTATGTTATAGTGGACAAATATGGATTGGTCAAAAATATGAAATGTAGAATAACTTACATTTTTTATAAAAAATATATTAAGGTTACCTGTCAACACACCCAATTATTTATTGCACATATACACTAACATTAAACCACTGTACATTAATACATTATAATCACACTTTAAATACATTATAAAGGTTATAAATTCAGATATAAGCTGACAAATTTGTTGGCTTATGATATCTATAAAATATCAAACATACCCTTTAATGATGCCTAACAACAAACAACACTGGATAGAAATATTTGTGTATATATATATATATATATATATATATATATATATATATATATATATATATATAATCTATGTTAGGTATGTCTGTTGGTTTTATTACATCAAGTATTGGTTGTGTTATTACATTCTTCGTGTTAGTTATTTAAATATATTTATATTTTTTGTAATATTACAGATAATATGTATTTATAATCAATGTTTGCTGATGCGCTTATCCTCTGATGGTCTTTGACCAAGAGTAGAGTATAAGAATAAATATATGTATTTATTTTCTCAATGCATGCATTATTATATTATATTAAAAAAGTCAATATATACCTCATTTGGTTAGGTCCATTATCAGACTTCTGACGTGCATTTGATAGTTCATCAAAAGCCCCTTCAATAGCTTTAACTAGAAAATTATTTTATTATATATTATTAATCACATGATTTATATGTTATATATATTTTCATATCTTTATGAAAAATATACCTTTATCATATTTACAATCTCCCTCATCACACTTTAATTTTTCTTCTTCATTATAATCCTCATTTGATAAGGTATTATTATCATCAATGAAGAGTAAAGGATGTTCCGTTTTCTCTTCCTCACTCAAATCCTCAAACTTTTTTTTAAATAATTCTTCCTCCATATTTCTGAGAAAATAGAAATGAAATTCCTTCATTCAGTTCAATACATGTATTCGCGCTATTAGCAAAAACCATGTTAACCTTCTAGTATTATTGTATTATCTAGACATAAATTACCATTACAGTAAAACTACATTTCCCATTTAATACTAATAGTAAAATTAAATATTTATGTGAAGGAAATAGGATGAAAGATGTTGCCTTGTTGATTTTTTAATGTTTTTTTATTTTTTTACTCAAGAAAACATTAATATCAGTTGTGTTATGTCATTAATATTAGGTTAAATTTTTCTTAGCTTCATAATATTAACAATAAGTCAGATGAGAATAGATATAGTTGAAATATTATTATTAATGATATAATAATGTAATATGAAGTCCCAAAGTGATCTTTAGTTGGTTAGACAATATAAAGCCCTGCCAACTTTTTAGACACAAATTTTTCTTTTAGAAAACAAAAGTTAAGCTCTTATTAATTGTTGTTGTTTCTAGTACCAAAACACATGATTTCATTTAATCCATCCATCAGATCCACTCCTCATCAAAACACTTTTGTTGGACAATAACGGATCAATGACTTTATAATGATTTCTAATAGATTAAAAAAAATAAAGAAGTTGTTAGGATCTAATTCTACTATTGTTTCTAAAAATAATTAATTAGTTTTTATTTTTAAAATCCTTTGTTTAAAAATGATTACTCTGAATTGCTAATTGTAAATTCCTTTTAAGGCATAGAGCTATATACACAAAGAGGGCCCTCATATCTCCACACAGGGCCTAGTATTATAATGATAAATATATTGTAATGGTATTGAAGGGAAGTTGCTTGGGGTTTTCAGTAAATGAAAATACAAATTAAAAATAAATAAATTACATTAATTTTTATTTATTTTACGCCAATGTTTCGGCCTAAGTTTCAGGCCTTCATAAGGGCTAAAGACAAGATAATATATAACATAAATATTAGAGAATAATAGTAAAAATATATAGGTAAAAAAGTGTAGTCAAATAATATGAAGGTGGTTAAATTTAACATTAATAAATATGTGGAATGGCATATATATGATATATAAATTAAGAAAGTATAAAGCAATGGTAGCAAAGCTGGAACTTATGGGAAAATAGCAGTAGCAAAGTTAGGATATATAAGATACCGGTAAAAAACTTAGAGATTTATGAAACAATAGAACAAATTTAGTAAGTTATAAAATAAATGTAATAAAGTGATGAAGTAAACAACAATAAAATAATGGTAACAACTTAATGAAATTAACAAAGCAATGAAATATAAAATAACTGCTTGATATATATAATTAAATTCGATTAATGAATGAAATATATTTTGACAGTAACAAAGTTAGAAACTTATGAAATAACAACAACAATTTTCGATCAAGTTTCAGATAAGTCTATTTCATCAGAAAAAAAATGTAATTAGTCCAATTTTCACCAACATTTTATTGATACGCATTAATTTGACGGCAGTCCCTCCAGAAATGACGGGGGCGAAGCCCCTATATAACATGACCAGTTAATGTTCACTGAACATATTAATTACAACATTATTGATGAACATATAACGGAGGACTCATCAGAAAATGACCCTTAGTATGGTGGAAACGTCAAATTAATGCTTATCAATAAAATGTTGGTGAAAATTGGCCTAATTTATTGTAAAAAATAAAAAACTTCAAGACACCAAAAGTAGGAAAAATGAACAGAAAAAATGTAATTAGTCAATTTTATTAAAACGACACCAAGTTATTATCATTTATCAGAAACATCTCTGAATCATTTTGAAACCAATATTTTTTAATGACAAAGATTTTTAGATAATATTATCTCCTCTTTGCTCTTAAAAAGAGATAAGGATAAAATCCAGCTCCTCCATGAACTAATTACAATGATCTTTTCAAGCATGAAAAACTGATAAACAAATATTCCATTTTGATCAAGATAAATCAAAATGCTAGTCAGGTGTAAATAATCTATCACAGATGAACTGTTATATGTATTTTTAATCTAATATATAATTATAAGTTAGAAGTAGGAGTATGCAAATATCAAGCATTAAGTAAAGGAAATGATAAAATGAAATCAGTTATAACTTTTCTAAATAGAAATATCAAAATACTTTAAATAAAATATAACTTTTATTCTAAGATATATTTTCTATTTGGATAAATTGATTCAATAGGTTTCATGGAACGCAAATTTGTAAGACTATATTAAAAAATATATTTTATCACTTTTAATTTGTTATACTATTTATACTATAAATACTATTCATATCGGATCGGTAGATTTAAGCTTGTCTGGAATGCAATCAAGAATAATCTCTATTTATTCTGATTCAAGGTCCAGAATGTAAGAAACTCGAGATATTAAAAGCAAACAATAAGGATCTTGTAGCATATTAGTATATTTTTAAAGAATCCATGGAAAAGTAAATAATGCCAACAATTTTATATAATGTTAATGAAATTTATGTCAAAACTATGCTATAAAAACAAGATAAAAAGGAAAAGTTTAAGGAAATTTTTTTTTAACCATAAGTGCAAGTAGTGAAATACACAGAAAAAGTGGTTTACTGTATTTTCATGACAGCTGTTTTAACTCATCGAGCACATGCCTATAAATTGAAAATTGATATTTTCATAGGAACACAGAGTTTAAGTATTTAGGGCTATGGGTAAATTAAAAAGGAATTCTTAATAAACATATTTCCTTGGAAATATTTCATGGGAGACAGATTATTGAAACCCTAAACTAGATAGCTATAGAATAAGAATATTACCTTTGACAAATAAAAGAATTTATCACTCATCTCTACTAGGAATAGTTCTATGTAGTGCCAAAAGCTGGACAAAAAAACAATAATACACCCGAAAATTACTGGCTTTATAAATGGATTTTCTAAGAAGTACCTGTTGCATCTCAAAGATCCAGCATGTTTCTAACAGTACTATTAGAAAAAATATAGTGCTTGAAAAAATATTGTATGTGATAATGAAACAATCATTGGTTTGGCCATTTTAATGAGGATAGAAGATGCCTGATAGCCAAAAAAAGTTTTCCTATTTATGTGAGAATATTGAAAAAAGAGAGGACAGCCAAGAAAGACAGTGATGGAAGATTTAAAGGAGGAAATGGATGCAAGATCACAAGAATAGGAATGATCTGATTGAGATGTATAGTGAGAGAAAATTTTGAGGATCTGAATACAATAATCATACAAAGATGAAATATATATAGATATTATCTGAATAAATTTTTATTTGATTAATTTTTTATGTGTGAGGTTGCGTGACTCCTTCCAGGCTATCTGTGCTTCTGCAATTAATATACTTCTATAAGAAGACCATATAGTGCAACCAAAGATCTACATGACAAATAGTACCAAGAAAAAAAAATTATCTTATTGAAATTTCAGGTTAAAATGAATGACTAAAAATGTATTTTGATCTTTTAATCAGAACCAATTTTATTCATTTAGAATGAACTTTTATTTATGATTAAATATTCAGAATAAATATTTAGTTAGATAAATTTTCAAACGACTAATGCCCAACTCTAAAATACATACATACTAAAGAGAAATAAGTGTAAAAAAAATATGTAAAAAGTGTAATTTAAAAAAATATATATGTATATATATTTAATAATGATAAAAAATAAGTAAAATTATATCTGTATCTCACAAATAAATAGATAGATAAATTAGATAATATCAAAATGAATAGTCAATTGATAAACAAAATTTAACCATCTCGAACACATTCATACCTATAATATTTATATTAAAATAAAATATTTACATTTGCCTATGAAACTCTAAGTCAAACTTTGATTTTCACAAATGGATGACAAATCAGGATTCCAGGAGAAAGCAGTATTTCTCTCTTAGCCACTTTACTAGTATTCAAAGTCAGTGGAGACAGAGAGAGGGCACTAGGGCCACAGATGAGTGAGGGACATGACCATTAACAAACTCCTATGGAATATTTATAAAAGATCTCAGGGCCACTGCCATTTCAACTTTCAGCAAGGAAAATAGGAATGGTTGGTGTTAATAAGGATTGAGCTAAAGGATTTGGATGATGAATATGACTCTGCTGAAATTTTTAAGGTCTGGATAGGATGAATTTAAAAACAGATGGGATGTTGAAGTCATGATGTAAGGTCTTATTCATAATACAATTAATTAAGGGATACTAACCATTTGCTAATTAATAAAGAATTAGTAAATGGGAGCATTGACTACTGTTTGAAGTATTTTGGAGTGGAATGTTTGGATTTATTCGATATTTCAAAATTTGGCATATAGTTCAAGTCTATAGGTCTTGATCAGCTTCAGTATGATGTTGTTGATAAATAGTTGGTTTTCAACTGAATAATGAGATGCTAAATTTGATATAGTAAATGACTGGCCAAATCTTTTGTTAATCTCTTGTCTGCTTTGTGAGTTTCATATTAATCTTTTGTTTAGAAGGAAACCAAGGTATCGGATTATATCTTAATAAGGAAGAGGTATAAAATTAAAAAGAATTGGCAGATAGCAACTGGGGTAGAAGGTGAAAGTGGTATATTTATTATTTGATTAATTTATTGTTAATTGCTGCAACACTGCACAATTAGGAAGAGATACCTTAGTAGGTTTAGGGGTTCCATTTCAGTGTCTTAGTTAGAGTATGGGATGGTTGTGGTATCATTAGGAAATTTTGAAATAAAGATGTTGTAAATTGTAGAGATATCAGCAGTGAAGAGAAATTGAGCTATGACACTATCTTGTGAAATACCAGTCATAGTCAGTTAACAATTGGAAAATTATCTCTTTATATATTCTTTGATATTTCATTTGTGTGGTAAGGAAGATTTTAATGGTTTTTAGGTATAATTATTATGAAATTTCATTTTCTTTCTAACATATAATCGTATTTATTTCATTTGTCCAACATTTCAGGATCTTTTTCCCATCCTCAGAGACAATTTTATAACTGTTAATGGTCTTCTATCCATCTTATATTATTATACTTCATGTCAGTAAAACATTTTTCTCTATCTTACAAATTACATTTAAATAAATAAATATATGCTTAGTCGGATAATTTCCATTGTCATTTCACCAACAATTTTATATAATGTCAATTGCTGGTTTATTTAAAAGGAATTTGTCGTTTTTTTAAATAAACCAGTAATTTGACAATGGAAATTATCCAACTAAACATATATATATTTATTTAAATGTAATTTGTAATATAAAGACAAATGTTTTTCTGACATGCAGTATAATAATATAAGATGGGTAGAAGATCATTAGCAGTTATACAATTGTATCTGAGAATGGGCAAAGAGCCCTGTTAGGAAATCAGTCAAAAGTGATTTTTATTTTATAAATATTAAGCTGATTTCACTTTGTTAAAAATATTCATATGTGAATAATTGTAATTGTTGTAAAAAGTCTCAAATTCTAAAATCTCTTTGTAAAGTTTATGTTGAAATAAAAGTTTATTTCAATTTCAGAGTACTCAAATTTATTTTATTTGAACCTAGTGATCAAATGGTAAGTTATATATTGACCCCTAACTCGAACAAGCTTGAAACATTGGATAAATAGAAAATTCTGTGCTGCAGCAGACCCAGGTGGAATGGTTTCAAAGGTAGGATATGCATAAGGATTTGTGTAAATGGATTTTGAGTATGAAAAGCAAGCCACCCAGTCAAATCTTGTGATGTGTCCAGAAAGGCACCAATGGAATATTGCTTGCTTTCAAGAGCAAAGGATGTATGGTCAACAACATGAAGAACTGGCTGAACTATAGAATTTCCTGAGCTGAACCCAAAATGGTGTTAAGGGATTTTCTGGAATTCAACTTTAGATAGGATTCATTTTAGAAGGATTTTTTTTCAAAAAAAATTTTAAAGGACCAGAAGCGAACTTATTAGTCATCTATTAGAGTTGAAATTTTGACTAATCCTCACTCTTACACATTCTTGGCTATTCAAACATCAGACCTAACAATTTTCCTACATATTGCATTTAAATAATAAAAAACATGTAATTTACATTTATTATCAAGATAAGAAAAAAAGGAAATAAAATACAGTATAAATGATAGCAAAAAAAAAATCAACAAAAAGGAAACATTTTTAAATTCTTATATATTACTCTAGTCTCTGAAGAACGACTAAAAACATTATAGGTTAGGACTATACCATACTAGAAGCTAGACATTAGACTAAATTTTCAACCCACAAATAAAACAGAAGCATTTATTCTAAAACAGAAAACAGATATCAATTTGATACCTGTATTATGAAACTGACTGCCAACCAGCAAACTATCAATTCAGGATTTTATGCAAAATATGGAATATATTAACATAATGATATAACAATAAAAAAAATGATAATGACAATAAAATTAAAATCATAACATAATTTTTATGTTCATTGGATTCAAATTTTGAAAAGGAAGAAAATATTTTAAATTTTAAGACTGAAACCATTATAATTAGAAAGATTTGAAAGAATTTATTATATTAAATATAAATACAAACTTCAATAACAGAACAATCACACTTTAATTGTTGAATGTTATTTTTAATTAACATTTTTGAGAACTATTGAGAGGATTGAAAGTATGACATTTAGAAATAAAAACAAATGAGTCTCAGAAATAACACTATGTGAAACTTAAGAATTAAGTTAAGCAGATATCAGTACTAAAATTAGTTATAAATTGTTAATAATAACATCAGTATTATAACTTTGAAATTAATAAATTTTATACATGAATTGTATAAATAAAATTGTGAAGTGTTATAGCAATTTATTTTAAACAATTAAAATTCCTCTGTAACAAAAATTTTACCAATGTTGAATGGGCATTGAATTCCAGCATAATTTATTGATTGGGTAATTTATTTATTGTTAAATAGAAAAATAGTGATAATTGCCTATAAAGTGAAATGAATGATGCATTATTTCAAGATTACGCTTCATCACAACAATTGATTACCTTCAGATGTTACCAGCCAAGAATGAATAGCTAATTATCGACAAGATTTAAAATATAACATAACAAAAATGTTAGATTGCTCAATTATATTCTCAATGGTTTTATTCTTCCTTCAATAACCTATTTTATAATAAACTAATATAACTTTTAAATATGCATTACGTATAGTCACACAGATTTTTTTATTTATTTCTGTTAACAAACATCTTAACAGAAATAAATAAAAAAATTGTTTTTTCAATAAACAAATGAGGTTTCAACCCTAGGCTTTTATACACACCACATCACTTGTACAATATGTTATACAAAAATACCAAAAATAATGTATCACATGAGGAAAAAATAAAGCAAAACATTCCTGTTACCTAAAATTATATAAAAAGATTAAACTTAACAAGTATAATAGAGACCAAAGTTTTGCAGTAATTGCTGGAAGAATAATGCTATATTGGAAGAAACAGACTGGTAAAAATTTATCAAATATAATGATTGAACATCTTGAAAAGATTTTAAGGCTTTAAAGTAGATATGTGCCTATAGACTGGTTTGACGAAACGACAAATTTGTTCATAAAGAAATAAAATGATATACAAAAGCAATAAAATAAGAATTACCAAATTTATTAATCTGAACGCGCACTATTAACTTATTTTAGAAGTAAGTGAATTTCTGAACTATTTATTTCATAAACAGATAAAATTATAATTTAATAAAGAATATTTTATGATTCTTAAACAGTTCAATACAAGAAATCGGCTGATGGCATTGAGACTTTATAGGGAGGGTTCAGATATTTGTTTTTAAGCTATGTATTATAAAAACTTAATATTACTATTTAAAAATTATATGAATACGGAATTGATATTGTGACAAACATAATGTACCATTGATTAGAGGCCATTGTAAGAATTATTTAGTTTAATAAGAATTAATTAATAATATCATTACACTAGCAATTCATTAGTTATAGTATAATTGCATTTAAACAATGTATCTTATATCTAAGAAAATACATTTAAAAAAAGAAAAGCAGTGTTTCAACTGCCTTCCGCAGTGCTACATCCTACGCCCTGATGAAGACCTGCAAAGTGGGTCAAAACATCGGCAAAAATTAAATAATACTATTTGTTTAATTTAGTATTTATTTTACCGCACCCCCCGATTAACTCCTTCTCAAAAGAAAATGTATATACATATATATATACACTTATTTTTGTTTGTCAATAGCTGCTGCTGAAACTAAGTTAACGATAAGTTTGCTTGGACGGTAGTTAATTTTCAGTATTGGAGTAAATTTGAGCATTTAAAAATAATTAAATTAAATATATATCTGAACTAACTAATAGTATTATTTGACAAATGAATACTTGTCCAATGGTGGATTCAAATATTGAAAATTCAGAAAAACTTTGTCTCATAAATACATATATAATTAGTAAATATACCACAGCTTTCCTGTCAGCGAAAGAAAATGTAAACATATAAGTATATAAGACATTTAACTTACATTTAATAGGTGTAATGATCTAAAAATATGAAGAGATGTATCTTCTCTGAAAACTTGGCGAAGAATGGGAAGAGAGCTGTAGCACTCCTGGTGGCTTCCTTTGGAACTGCACAATACCTCATAGATATGGAGGTTATTACGGGGAATTTTTAATACAAAAAAAATTGTTATAATGTTATCGATTATCTGAAAAAAAAAAATTTTAATTAATTTTATTTGTTTATATTACACAGGTACACCCACCAATATTTATTACTATTAATACATGACGTTTCATGGTTTTAGACACATGATATTTTGAAACAAACATATGATTATATATAATGTTATGTGAAAAGAAAATATCTAATATTAATAACTAATTTCTTATTCATTGAATTCCCTATAACAAAATAATTGCTCTATTCAAATTCTTACTTGATGTAATTCTGTTATACCTTATCATATTTTTTACATAGTCATTTATTGATAAATCAATAAAATACTAATAGAACATTATTACTATTCTAAATTTTAAAAATTAATCCCACTAAACAATATTACACCATTAGAAATGAGTATACATAAGCTTATATCATAATTAAAATTACTTATCCTTATTCAAAATTAATCTAAATTAGATTGAAATGAAAAAGAAGTTAATTAAAAAAAAAAAAAAGTGCACACCTAGTAAATTTTAGCGACACACACTCTGAATTATGAAGTATTGCCAATGATTAGATTTTTGAAATAAAAAAAATCCTATATTTTAAAGCTAATTAAATTTAGTCATAATTATTAAATGAGAAAATAAATTCTAATACAAAATTGAATTCAGAGAAATTTATACTAAACTAAATATTTTTGGAGTTAGGTTATAATTTGGAAAAATTCCAAACCACATAGTCTAATGTCTCCAAACTGCAAGCAAAGAAAACAAACCTGTTAATGTTTCACCAATTCAGGCATTATCAGGACAGAAAATAACAGCACTGTATTAGTGTGCATTTGGTATCATCGAGTGATGTTCGATTAGCTGTTCTTTTCTGTCCTGATGAAGCCTGAATTGGTGAAACTTTGACAGATTTGTTCTTTGCCTGCATTTTAGAGACATTAGCATGTGTGGTTTGGAATTTTTCCAAATTATAACCTAATATTTATGTTCTGTCTCTTGATTAGATTGTTATTAATTTGAATTAATATCAATCTAAAAACAAAAATCAGTACCACTTCAATACAAAGGTCTTTGGTCCAATACGTTATAAGAAAATACTGTTTCTTGATCAACAATTGTGCAATGAGGTGACATAACCGAGATCACACTCAACCACCAGTTTTTTCCCTTTGATTAATTAATTTATTTTTATTAATAAAAAAGAAAATTTAATTAACATGAGACTGAATACATTAATTTTACTGAATTTAAAACTGAATAAAAAATATGACAAAGCAAATTGACTTTGAACCATTGACGTTATAGAAGGATGATTTGTAATCACTCCCTTGCTTATTATTGCTGACAATTTTATTTCATTATTTTTTATTAAGTTTTACTTAAAATTTATTTTGTAAGTTTTGTTTAGATTTTATATTGCATGAAACATAAAGTATCATTCTAGTTGCTCAATAATTCCTGTTGTCAAAAATTCCTAAGTTTATTGTCCAAATCAAAAATATTTTACTCTACCTCACTGTCCAAAATATAGTCTCCTCATCCCTAAACTTTACTGTTTCATCATTGGTCCATATCCATTACAACTCTTTTATGTGGCAGTTTTCCTACCTGACTTGTAATGGACTGAAAAAAAATTATAGTATAGAATTAGAAAATGCAAAAGAGCACATCCAATCTTTTCCCAAATATACCAGCCACTATTCCAATCATCTAAAACCACAAGCACTTTTGGTCAAGCTCGACCAAAAAAAAAAAAATGATCCAGGAATAAAAATCAACAAGTCCAGACACTTGGAAGATTGATTCAGATAATTTCTTTGTGTAGTTATCATAGTATTACTTTAAACTTTTTTCCGTCATATTATTTATGCTCATAAAGTATATTTTTATTATGGTATCCATTTATGCCACATGTGTCTGTTCTCATGATGTTAATTTATTTGAAATATTGTGTTACCTTATATATATATTATATATAGATATATGTATGTATGTATGTATGTATGTATGTATGTATATATATATATATATATATATACATACATACATACATACATAGAAGCTGGGCCACCCCAAGAGGGTCTCCCAACTCCATTGGTGATCCAGGGTTGTGTGTAATAGAACAAATGGTTACCAACCACAGCCAGACTCGAACCTAGGACCAGGACAGTAGGGCCACGGTGGCTTACTCCCTAAATTATACTACTCCCCTTTCTAATGATTTAATTTAATTTTGTATATATATATATATATATATATATATATATATATTATATATATATATATATATATATATATATATGTATGTATGTATGTATGTATATATATATATATATATATATATATATATATATATATATATATTATATAACCACCCTAACCAACCAATATATTAAGCTACTACTCAGTAGCTTAATATATGTGCTAGTGGACGGTGCTGAGACTGTCGGTGTGTCCCTGGCCTGATCGAAGCTCTATTTTTTAAACTTCTAGCTTTGAAGAGGATCCCATGGTTGACTAATAAAAAGAAAATACCGGGATCGAAACGTCAATAAACGGAAGAAATGAACATTCAATAGTTTATTGAATTATAATTAAATGACCTTATTCCCAATTAAATAGTTAAGTTTAAATATATATATATATATATATATATATATATATATATATACATATACACATATATGTATATTATAATATAATATAAATTTTGTATAAGTATACATGGTGTTCTTAATGACCGAACTCCGGACGGTGATTATAAACAAAATTTCCAACAAAAAAGTTCATTTGATGGGCCGATTCTGAATGAAAAAGGAGTTAAAAATAATTTTTTGTTTTTCTTAAGGTGGTCACGTTTTTTATTGAATAAGAAGGAATTGCTCTAAAAACTTTTCAAAATAATTAAATTCTAAGTAGGCAACATTTTTTTGAGAAAACAGTAATTGAAATTATCAAAGTCAATGATAAAAGGGACTTTCAGGATGTTTAATACAGCTGCTGTTCAGAGATATGCTGCTTGTGTATGGGTACTGTAACTGCAGCTAAGAGGGCCTATTTTATGCCCTAATCATTGACCTTAGTAAATTAAAAGTCCCTTTCATCATTGATCTTATTAAATGTAATCACTATTTTCCCCAAAAAAATGTTGCCTACTTTACGATGGTGTACTTAGTATTTAATTAACTTGAATAGTTTTTGAGCAATTCCTTCTTATTCAATAAAAAACGTTACCACCTTAAGAAAAACATAAAATTGGTCTTAACTTATTTTCCATTCGGAATGGGACCATGAATCAAATGAATTTTTTTGTTGGCAATTTTTTCTAGAATCTCCTCCCAAAGTTTAGCCATAAGGAACTGAGACACCCATACACACACAACACACACATGTACATATACATATATATATATATATATATAAATTATAATATATATATATATATATTTGTATATATATATATATATATATATATATATATATATTATAATTTATATATATATATATATATATATATATATATATATATATATATATATATACAAAATTAAATTAAATCATTAGAAAGGGGAGTAGTGTAATTTAGGGAGTAAGCCACCGTGGCCCTACTGTCCTGGTCCTAGGTTCGAGCCTGGCTGTGGTTGGTAACCATTTGTTCTATTACACCAACTCTGGATCACCAATGGAGTTGGGAGACCCTCTTGGGGTGGCCCAGCTTCTATGAAATGGGTATTCATAGTGAAATAATTCATTATGGAGAAAACTTGGTGCATGAACATGATTTTGGTCAAATCAGCTACTTTCACAACTGTTGAACCAAGAAACTGTGCTTTCAAACAAAGTTCTAAACCAAAGATCCTCTGTGAGTTGTAGTGGTGAAGGTTTTTTATACTATAACACATACTCAAAACATATTAAATTCATTGTAAATTACTTTAATCTCAATTTTGTATTAAGATATATTTCTACATTCACTAATTAGATTAGTTTGATAATTGTTATTTTAGTTTTATCTACAAAACATATGTTCTACATGAATATTAACATACATTCTACTTTTTTTTTTTTTTCTAAATACACACACTCATATAATTATATTCAACTTACTTATATTAATATTCAAATTTTCATAAAGTAAAGAATTAAATATCAATTAATTCTAGTATTAAATTAATGGAAACTGCACAAGAACTATGATGAAGATCATGATTATTTGAAAAATGAATGTCTGATTAATGCTCTAATTGTATACTATTGAAAAGAGTAGTTTCCATAAAAACTAAATGGAATTTCAACTAATCGAAATTGAAACATTCAAAATTTCATCTTGAAAATTCAAAAATGTATGATTCACAGAATTATACCCCATTTGAAGGTTTTAATATATATTTAATCCCTTACGTCATATATTATGTATTGGAATGTATTAACAAAGAAAAACCTTTATTATTTGACCATAATTGTGACTTTAATTATGACCTTCAAGGAATATGTCAGATTCCTTGGAAAGTTAGCATTCTTGAGAAATAATGTAATATGTTGTTATATTACATCAATAATTTACAGGACCCTATTAAATATATATATATATATATATATATATATATATATATATATATATATATGTGTGTGTGTGTGCGTGTGTGTATATACATGTCAACAAATATGCTTGTGAATACACTCATTTATTACTTATACTTAATATATTTTAATTATAAGGTTAGATTATTATGCTATGTTAGCTAAATTTTTTTTTCTTATAATGCCAGACAATTTTCATCTTTTTGTTCAATATAATTATTCTTAGTGTATTAAATGTCCCAGAATAAAATTTACCTTTCTTCTTCTTCTTCTTCTTCTTCTATATATTATTACGACCTATAGATATATAGATATATAGATACCACCTAGAGATTTCTCCTAGATATATTCTCTTCTGGTAGCTTCACATGGCTTCTGGCAGAATGGCTTCTGGATGTCTGTTCCTTTGTGACTAACTGTTAATTCTTGTTAATTTCGG